CTTTCATTATTTCACCTCTCTATTCCTATACTTGTGTCTCCTAAGGTAGCACCCTATACTGGCCTTGAATCTGTGTTTATGCATCTAATTTGAAGAAATGCTATTTGGGAATGTGTGGTTTAAGACAAGACAATGAGCATTTTTCTCAATGAGGCTCACAAACTGAGTCCACCCTTTCCTGTACAACCCTTGCTCACTTCCTTTACTATATCTACTCTACACACAGATTTAGCCATAATCAGCTCCTGAATCCTTAGAGATAGAAAGACAGAGATGTCTTAAGATGTGTATGCTATATACTCCTTTGGAATGCTGTGAACATGTATCAAAAGGCTTCTAAATTCACAAAATAATGTACAGGGGTTCTCCAAGGAAAACAGTAGCAATGAAATGTAACTGGAAACAGGCTTCCATATATGAATATATTTCTATATACTTGCATAAAGAGTCAAGACATGTCTATTCTTACTTTACTTTCTCCAGAAGGCAGTGAGACTTGTAAGTAAATCATGATTTTACCCAACTCCAAATGTTCAGGTTTCTCCAGGCTTGTCAGTACCAAAATAAGAGTAAAGATTCTGAGTCACAAAGGGTGAATCATTATGGAACTCACAGGTTATCTCTTTTTACATATTCTTTCATTCCGTCCATTTTGAACCTAGAGATAGTCTCCTCAATTTGTGCCTAATCTAAGGAAGTACACAATTGTATTTTCTGGACAGATATGAGATTTCTGCTTTCCTTGGTTACTGTGATTTCAATCTTTTTCAATATTTTCTCCAGTCTGTCTCATCACACCTCTAGCCCCACTTGCTAAGGCCATCTTTCTTATGATCACAGTATCTTTAATGATGCCTACAACGTTTTTCTTACAGTGAAATATATTCATCGTATATAGGGTTGAGCATTATAAAGACAATGTCTCTTAAGTTTATCATTTACTTTGATCACATTCATCATCCATATCCTCTCCCTTTTCACCCTTTTCCTCCCTCTAGTGCCCCCTTTTCCTAACCTTCCATTTGCTTTCAAACCATATGTGAATAGATATGTATATATGCATGTATATGTGTATGCATCTGTATCTGTATATAATTGTATAGATCTGTAGGTTCAACAAACAAAGAAATGGTGACCTTTGTCTTTCTGGTCTGGTTTATTTTTTGTTAATATTATATCTCCAGCTGCATCCATCTTACAGAAAATAATATAATTCCCTGCTTCTTTATAGTTTAATAAAACTCACCCATGCATATATATATAACATTTTCTTTATCCATTCATCTGTTGGTACTTAAGCTGACTCCATAACTTAGCTATTGTGAATAGTTATGCAATATATATGGATATGTGTGTATTTCTGTAGTATGTTTACTTAAAAATCTTAGAGTTTGATATATATACACTGAAGTGTTATAGTTGGGTCATAGTAGTTTTTTTTTTTTTTCATTTCTTAAAGGATCTCCTTTCTGGTAACTCAGGAAACAACATCAAGAAATAACAAAACAGACACAAGCAACCAACAAATCAATAAATGAGTCAATGAAATGAAAAGATGGCTCTCAAATGATGAAGTATAAATGACCAATAAACATATGAAGGAAAATGTTTAGCGTCATTAGTCATTAAGAAAATGCAAACTAAAAATACACTGAGATTCGGGCATTTGCAACAAAAATTTCAACGAAGACTACATGATACAAATGTATTGATTTTTACTCAAACCTTAGGAGCAAGCAGTGGTTATAATCAAGAATCCATATGCAAGGAATGATGAGGAACAATTAATAAGAAAAGCCCCTCTGGAGATGGTGTCTACATATATCTCTACTCTTATATCAACACTAAAACTTTTTCTTCCATCAACACTAAAACTTTGCTAATTAGTATAACTAATAGAAATGAATTTATACTGGTGAAATTGTAGGTTGATAATCATGGCATGAAATGTTAGAAGTACCTGCTAGTAGGTGAAGTTAGTGGTGTTCAAAATGCATTTATTGGATAAAGTACTTGAAAGTCACAACCAATCTTTATATAAATAAATTAAGAAAATATAACATATGTTTTATATTTTCCATTAGATTTTGCACATTCTTTTTAACTATTAATCCAGAACACAGAGCCATTTGGAATATTCTTGATCATATTTATATAGTGGGCAGTTTGTCAAAGTCTACCACTACAATAATAACATAATGTTTGCTTCAAGTAAACATTCTATGCAAGTACCAGCAAAGAAAGATTTCTGTTCTTTGGAATCATATGGCTCTTCTTGAATGCTTGCTAATAAGTGTCTGTATGTTTAACAATATTTGACTTAATTCTCATTACTATAAAGTGGTAATGGATATGTGCCAACCTTGCCTATCTCTGTATATTTATGTTCAATATAAGCATATGAACTGTAATAATCAGATTGTCTTTCACCTCTCACCCTATACCTTAATCAAAGATCCTCAGTTACAAAATAGTGTAGACTTCCAATTATGTACAAGAGCATCATGTTGACACCATAGTGTCACCATCTTCTGTTGTGATAACTGGATGGTTTGATCCTCTCCACTACTCTGGTTTCCAACTCTGGTCTAGGATGAGTCTGTCCTACCCCTAATTTTGCCTTCAATGATAAGTTTTGTACTTGTGATGGCTGATTTCTTATCATTACTGGTATTAGATTCCTTCATCCATTCATTCAACAATGAAGAATTAAACACCATTTTTGTACCATGTGGTATTCTCAACACAGGGGATGTGCCTTTTCCATATTGCTCTGTGATATCTATCATGCCATGAGTAATGATAAGTAAAAGTGTGATTTTTTTCATAGAATAATTTCATACAATACTAAGTGCCTTGAAATGTAAAGTGATGAGCTGTAACAGTACAGCAGAAAACCAGCTACTTTGGAAATGATGGTTAAGAAAACCCTCTGGAGGATAATAAGCAAACTAAGCAGAGATCTTATAGTGCTCTCCACTGAGCCTTCTGCTATTTTATTGGGATTAGCAATCAGTGTAATTTACAATGAAGTTGACTCCAAGGACCTTACAAGTTCAATTTGAACCTTTTATAACAGCCAGCTCCTCATCAGTGCTATACCTCATTTCTTTAATCAAAAATGGCCTAATCAAAATGTGAAAGAATCCCTAAGAAACCAAGATCTGCTTAGCTTTCTGGAGGAAATATAATGCACAATTATAATGAAATAATGACTTTTTTCATTGAATTGATGAATTGGATCAGTTTGTATAAACTGATTAGTTTAGTTTAGCATTTTGTAGTCATCACAAATAAACTAAAAATTCAGTCAAAACCCAGCTTAATTCAATTAGTACTGATGGGGCACTGAAGAGCATAAAAGCTGAGGTGCAGAAAGGTCTTTGGAGAATCATGTACCCAAAAAGAAAACAAGTTCTACAAAATTAACCTTAAAATGCTCATGCCCACTTCGAATATTCAAAGTCCTGCTTATATTGCTGCTTAACTATAAACATTTTAACTATCAGATGGTTTGTTGTGAACTATTCTTAATTATAAATATAAATATATGAAACATTAAAGGGAAAAATCACCCACCATTTTTATTTATCTCTCATTTCTGGTGCCAAAAAAATGTATTTTGTTTTAGACCTAAAAATTCATAAACTTTACTATTTCTCTTTTTTGAGATTTATATTCATTGGCATACAAATAAAATTGTTTCATCATAACATTTTTTTTCAAACCCAATTTGTATCTATTTCTCTTCCCCCTCTTCTCTCCTTTCTTGTGCCCTCCCACCACCACCTTTCTGCCTTCATGTCTCATGTGCCCTATTGTCCCGCTCCTTTTACAAACACCTTTTGTTCTCCTCCCATGGCAGCCTATCTAGTGGCATAGCCATTCTCTCCCCCCCCCTCTCTCTCTCTCTCTCTCTCTCTCTCTATATATATATATATATATATATATATATATATATATATATATATATACACACACACACACACACATATACATACATACATATGGACATAACACACATACGTATATATGGCCTATACATATATTTTTGTTGTGGTACCATAGTGTCTCTGTCTCTATAGCTCCATAGTTAATTTTATATATAAAACTTTATAAGCTAGCATCTGCACATGAGAGAAAAGGAGGCTTTGTGTCTCTCTGAATTTGAACCACCTAACTTAATACTTTATAAATCCATCTATTTATTTCCTGAAACTTTTATAAATTCATTTTTCTTTATAGCTGAGTAAAAGTCCATTGCTCACATATGCCACAGTTTGAATTTTTCATTTCTCGCAAATAATGCAGCAATAAACATGGATGTACAAGTATCTCTGTGGTAAGACTTAAGAGTCCTTTGGATACACATCCAGGAATCATATAGCCGGGTCATATGGTAGTACGGCTTAGATATTTTTATTTCCATTGTGGCTTTATTTAAACTCTTACCAGTAGTGACTATGGGTTCTTGTTTCCCACATTTCACCAGCATTTGTTGTCATTTGTTTTCCTGATCATCGCCATTTTGACTGGAGTAAGAGAGAAGCTCAAAGCAGACTTAATTTGCATTTCCATAATGACAAAGGATGTTGAACATCAAGAAAATTATTGGTCATTTGTGTTTCTTCTTTTAAGAGCAGTCAGTTCATTAAACAATTCATTGCTTTGCAGGGCTTTGGGGGAGGATCTGTGTTTACATTTACTGCTCTTTATATATTCTAGACATCAAACTCCTGATGGAGGTACAGCTGGCAAAGATTTTCACACATTCTGTCTGTTTACTCTGCTGATAGTTTCCCTTGCTGTGCAGGAACGTATAAATTGCATGTAACCCCATTTGTTGATTCTGGAGATTATTTCCTGTGTACTTCTAATCCTGTTCAGAAAGTCCTTACCTACACCTATAGCTTGGACTGTATTCTCTATGTTCTAGCAGTTGCAGGACTTCAAGTGTTTAATGAAGGTCTTTGATTGATTTTCGTTTTATTTTTGTGCAGGATGAAAAATGTGGATCTGAGTTCATTTACCTGAAATTCTGCCAGCACCATTTGTTGACTAGGCTGAGTTCTTTCCAGTATATGTTCTTTGCCTTTATCAAAAATTAAGCAGCCACAGCTATGTGGGTATACTTCTGGTTCCTCTCTTTTGTTTCATTTTCACTCCATTGATTCTGCCAGTCCAGGAGCAGGTAAGGTCTGTCTATAATATGGTACATTTTTAATTTTCTTTTTTCTTTTTGGTGTCATAATGTTTTTATTGTATAAAAGTACATCTTTCATATCCCCTATGGTAATATAACAATCTTTTCCTAATTCCCCCAAGATTTTTATCATAAGGCATGTTAAACTTGTTAAATACCTTTCTTGTATCTATGGGGATGATTGTGTGATTTCTGTCTTTAAGTATATCTATATGGTGGATTAGATTTATGATTTGCATGTGTTGAACCAAGCTTAAATTCCTAAGAATAAGGCTACTGTATTGTAGTGTATGATTTTTTTCTCATTTTCATTGGTTATTTGAAAATTTTATACAATATACTTTAATCTTATTCACTCCCTTCCCATTCCTCTCAGATCTGTCACCCTTCTCAACCTGTTTTAATATGTCCACTTTTATTTTTTATTAAGAAAAATTTTTATTCATTATACATACCAATCAAAGATGCTCCTCTTCCCTCCTCCCATTCCTCCAGCCTCCCTGTCCCAACTCACCCCCCCATTCCTTCCTACAAGAAGATAAGACCTCCCATGGGGAAGTACATTTAGGAGAGGTAGGTCCAAGCCCCTCCCCTTGCCTCAAGGCTGTGTGAGGTGTCCCATCATAGGTAGTGGGCTCCAAAAAGTCTGCTCATGCACCAGGGGTAGATCCTGATCCTACTGCCAGGGGACCCCCCATGCAGATCAGGCTGCACAACTGTCTCACTATGCAGAGTGCCTAGTTCAGTCCCATGCAGGCTCCACAGCTGTTGTTCTAAATTTCATGAGTTCCCATTAGTTTGGTTTGATTGTCTGTGTAAGTTTCCTCATCATTATCTTGATGCCCTTGCTCGTAGAATTCCTCTTCTCTCTCTTTGACTGGACTACTGGAGCTCAGCCTGGTGTTTGGCTGTGGATCTCTGCATCTGTTTCCATCAGTTACTGGAGAAAGGCTCTATGATGACAGTTAGGGTATTCAGTGATATGATTACTGTGATAAGCCCATTCAGGCACCCTCTCCACTATTGCTAGTAGTCTAAGCTGGGGCCATCCTTGGGGATTCCTGGAAACTTCCCTAATATCCATTTTTTCCCTATCTCCATGATATCTGTCTCTATCACAGTATCTCTTTCATTCCACTTTTAATTTTTAAAAACACACTATCAAGTCTTATTTATCCTTCCTACATGCTCTTGTATGTGTGGCCTTCACTGGAGGATAGTCAACTAACCAGGGAACACAACTTAAAGAAAACTAACTCTCCTTTTTCCAGTAACTATGAAGTGCCCATAGAACCCAAGATAGGGATGGAAGTTTATGCCTATCTTCCTTCAACATGCTAGAATTTTTGTCTGTCTTACATGAACTTTTATAGGTTTGTGCATGATGTCTCAACTGCTGTAAATTAAATTCTTATATAAAACTTCCCTGCTGTATGAAGAAAACTGTTTGTTTGTACCCATCCACCATCTCTGGTTCTTAGAATCTTTCCACAGTTGTGCTTTGGAAGAGGAGGTGTGATATATATGTCTTATTTAAGGATCAGCATTCCATAGTCTCTTATTTTCTGAAACTTGACCAGTTGTGGATCTCTGTGTTAATTATCATCTGCTACAACAAGAAAGCTTCTCTGATAAGAGCTGGTAGACATGTTAATCTAAGGGTGTAACAATGAGTCACTTAAAAAGCAGTTTAATGCTATGGCCACTTAGCAAAAATAATAGCGGTAGGTTTTCCCATAAGGACTATGATCTGTCTATAGCCACAGGTTTTGAGTTCTTATAACATTGCCAGGTATGGGTTTCATCTTGTGAAGCAGAACTTAAATTTGAGAGTGATTGGTTATGCATATGATACTTGTGCCACTATTGAACCAATAGGTGTATGTTATCAGGTTGGAAGTTATTGTAGCTCCCAAGGTTCACAGCTGATTAAGACTGATGATTATTTTTCTCTTCTGGTAGTGTGAGTAGCATCTTCCAGCACAATGAAAACTAGACAGTAGGTATGAAGCTTCCAGGTGAGTATCAAGTTCAAGAGAGTAACCAAGAGCAGTGGCAGTCACCCGCAATGTTTGAGGATCTATCTATCCACGAGAACTTGCTAACCGAAAAGTACAAAAGCAACATTCCTGGCACTAGGAGTTTTTTTTTTTGTTTACCTATGGTGTCTAGTAGAGGCACTGTTGCCCATTATAAGGTAACTCCATTTTATCTCTTTTTATTTAGACATATGTATATATTTTAAGAAGCTTCTATGGTAGAAAGTTTCCATTAGCTTATTTGAAAAGTCTTTAGTGTTGGTTATCCTTCTCAGTACACCCATCTCTACATTTCCCTCTTACTCACTCTACTTAACTCTTCTTGTTCCATTATTACTTTTTAACCCTTTGTACTGTTGAAATAAATATTCATTATCTTGAAAGACCCACCATGACACCATATTAATTTCCTGAACTTTGTGTATATTCCAAATGGAACATGCATATATGAAGATTCAAAGTTGATATCCATAAATGTAAGAAAGCATATGATGTTTGTCTTTCTGGGTCTTGATTACCACACTCAGAATGGTTGTCTCCAGCTCCATCCATTTCCCTGTGAATTTAATATTTTTTCTCTTAACAGATAAATATCATTCAATTGTAAAAATGAACCACATTTTCATTGTCTATTTATCAGGTTATCTAGGTCATCAGGCCATCTATTAATGATCATCTAGGTTGTTTCCCATCCTGGCTAGTTTGACTAGAGCATAAATTGACATTGATGAGCAGGTTTTCTATGGTAAGATATAGAGTTCTTTGAGAGTATTTCCAAGAATGTAGAGCTGAATCATATGGTATATCTATTTTTAAGTTTGTGAAGACCTCCACACTGATTTCTGTAGTGGCTGAACCAGTTTGCACATTCTCCAGCAATGAATAAGTCTTCCACTTCTCTGGACCCACACCAGCATCTGTCCCCATTTGGTTCTGCTGTTTGTTTTACAACTGATGAGGGAGAGATTTCCAGAGCCATACCTGTGTCAGTTTCTGCAGTGGAGAAGACTGAAGCTAATTCGTAGGTTGAGGTGAAGCCTTGTCTTACAGATTCTGAACTCACTGTGTGACAGGCAAGCAGGAGTGGAGCTTTGAATGTACTTCTTCTAACCTCTGAATTATATACCATTTCCACACTGCTGTGCAAAATCTATGTTGTATTTAGTGTTTAATAAAATATTCCATTGAACCATTATATCCTAATTGTGTTACTCTCTCTCATGTTTTGGCTATTAGGACTATTTTAAATTTTTATTGTTATTCTAAAAATATTTTACTGCATAAAACATTTCTAGAATTTGGATTATTTCCTTTTTCAAAAGTTCCAAAAGGAAAATTATTAGTCTAAAATTTTAAATAGATTTATATTTATCCAAAACAAAAGCTGTTAGTTTCCATAAAGAGTCTACTAATATTCAAGCAGCAATAGTAAAAGACAGCCATGAATGTACTCATACTCATTAACAATATTTGTAAGGCTTTGCTATTCCTTTTGATTATAACTTGTCACATTTTCTCTTATGAATTGTCTTTCACATCTTTTTCTTAATAATTCTTTGATTTGAGAATTGGTTCATATGTTTTGACCCTTTGTAAAATAGAAATAGTCTGAGACATTTCTGCAGCAAATATTTTCCTAGAAGCCCTTTTATTTCCTTTTGCATAGATTATAAAATATTATTTGCAGCCGGGCGGTGGTGGCGCACGCCTTTAATCCCAGCACTCGGGAGGCAGAGCCAGGTGGAACTCTGTGAGTTCGAGGCCAGCCTGGGCTACCAAGTGAGTTCCAGGAAAGGCGCAAAGCTACACAGAGAAACCCTGTCTCGAAAAACCAAAAAATAAAATAAAATAAAATAAAATAAAATATTATTTGCATATCTTCTCCTTTGTAACTATACATTTCCTGTGCTTAGTAAGTCAGAATCCTCTGCAATAATTTTGATAAATGGTCAATGTAATTCATTGTAAAATTTTATATGTAGAAACGTGTTCCATTGTATCAAAAATTTATTTGTAAATTTATTTACTGTCTTCATCTTTTTTAGTCAGGGTCTTACTGTGTCGCTCTGGCTGGTCTCAACCTAACTTGTGTCAACATATTTATACTGTTTTTTGTAGGATCTTCTATTTTTATCTACAATAATCACTATATATTAACTGTGGCAATAGAACATTTACATTCAATTTAATTATTAATATGGTGGACTTGAAGCCTATAACTTCCTATTTCTTTGTTATATCTAATATTGTCTCTTCCCTTCTTTGAATTAGTTGAATATTTTCATTGCATGCTACCTCATTTTTTGGATTATTATCCTACAATCATTGCTTATTTTGGTAAATGCTTTGGGTTATATTACTTTCACATATTTCTGTTTATCTTCAGATGAATTCTATGTCATATATAGTATAAAATCCTTACTAAAATTATATATTATATATATATATATGTTTATATATACACATATATATTCCCTCCTCGTGTGTGAGTGTGTGTGTGTGTATGTGTGTGTGTGTGTGTGTGTGTGTGTGTGTGTGTGCTGTTAGAATACATTGTTAATAAATTTGGTAGTTCATATATTTTATTATGGAAAATGTACATAATGAACACCTTATCATCTTAATCCTGTTCATTGCTACAATAAAATTAGGTGAACTTTGAGCTACTATCACTATCATCCATCTCCAAAATATTTTTGTCTTCTCATCCCAAATCTCAGTGCCCATTAACAATAATTGCCATTTCTTTCACCCCCAGCTTCCACTTTCTGACTTTATGAATTCCTGTAACTCATATACATCATTAAATCAAAGTATCCATTATGTTTTTCTTTTGTGACTGACTTGTTCCTCCTAGCATACTGTTTTTGAGTTTCACTTATATTTTAATGTGTATCAGATTTCATTGCTTATGAAGGCTAAGCCATAATCTGTTATACATAATGTAACACATATTTATGCATTTGTCTCTCTGTGGACATTTTGGTTGTTTCTCATTTGAGTTCTTGTGAATCGTGCTGTGATGAACATTGGTGAGCAAATGTCTGTAAATGTTTATGCTCTCAACACTTTCCAGTGCATAGTTTCTTTAGTTGCTGGACTATATAGACCTTCCATGACAGACATGTACCTTTTGAAAAAGTTTTAAATAAAAATTGAATTGCTATGTGCGTTCTGTTTCTACTTATAATCTGTTCTGGAGGTTGGCATTCTTTTGTGAAGATCCATATTTCCAAAGTGTATTTATAAAGGTTAACTATTTGTTCTTACTGTTGACCTTTAGAATAAAATCGTCAATTTCCAGAAAAGTCATTTAGGATTAAGAATTGAATTTCAGACCGTATAAAATATAACTCAGAGAGGAAAAGCAGAAAATAATCAGTCTTTCTGTCTTATAATAGATAACACTTTTCCATTTCAATGCAACAAGAAAATGTTTGTGATTTATGTATTCTGCTTCTATATATTTATTTCTTTGATTACACTTATTTAGTGTGTGTGTGTGTGTGTGTGTGTGTGTGTGTGTGTGTGTGTGTGTGTGTAAGTGTATATACATTCTATTGTACATATGTAGAGATTGGAATCAACTTACAGTTGACTCTCTCCTCCTATGACCATGGCAACTCTTATAAAGGAAAACATTTATTTGGGGTGCCTTGCTTACAGTTCAGAGGTTCAGTCTACTATCATCATGGTGGGACAAGGCAGCATGCAGGCAGACATGGTCCTGGAGAAGTAAGATGAAAGTTCTACATCTTGCAGACAACAGGAAGAGGTCTGAAACACTGGGTGGCATTTTGAGCATATGTGAGACTTCAAAGCCTACCTCCATAGAGACACACTTCTTCCAACAAGACCACACCTACCCTACAAGGCCACACCTCCTAATAGTGCCACTCCCTTTGGGGATCATTATTTCAAATCACCACAGTGGGTATTTTGTATATATGTATGTCTGTAAATCGCATGTGTGCAATGCATACAGAAGTCATTGTGGGTCTCAGACCTTGAGCTCAAGTCATCAAGCTCAGCAGTGAAAAAATTTACAACTGAGGAGTCTCCTGGCCCTATATATTTTAATGCATTTTTTAAAAATTGGTTCATTTTAGTGAATTAGATGAGAACCCTTCTAAGAATTTTTAAGTATGATCTGACATTTGTAAAATTTATTCTCTAGCTTTTGTGAAGCTGCAGCAAAGAAAAAGAATGGAGTCATAGAGACGAGTAAAATCTATTGTAGTAATCTAGTGAGAGACTGTAGTTGTAGTTTTTCTGTGCCTACCCAGTTCCCATGTCCTCAGGGTCCCATAGCCACTCATACCCAAATGAACACACAGAGGCTTATATTAATTATGAACTGTATGGCCTTTTGGCTCAGGATTCTTGATAGCTAGATCTTACATCTTAAATTACCCCACTTCTTTAAATCCATACTTTGCCCCGTGGGTCGTGGCCTACCAGTATCTTTACATCTTGCTTCTCATGGCAGTGGCTAGCAGTGGCTCCTCTCTTCTGCCTTTCTCCTTCCGCTCTCTAGTTAGAATGTCCTGCCTAACCCTATTCTGCCTCACCATTGGCCAAACAGCTTTATTTATCAACCAGTCAGAACAACACATATTTGCAGCATACAGAAAGACATTCCCCCATCAAGAGACAGTGGTGCTTAGAGTCTTGCTTGGTAGAGTAGCACTTTTTTTTCTTTTGTTGTCTTAATCCTTCCTTCTTGCTTTCAAGAGTATTTTATTTATTTCTATTATGAATGCTTAGAATATTCTTGGCTTCTGGTATTTATCATTTGCTACTGCCATAAATAAACATTCATAAAGACAAGTCATTGTTTTTAGCTGCATGTCTCTGATTTCTAGTTGTATAACCATTTCATCTCATAATAATAATGTTGTGTATTATTTTTTACTCATTTCTTTTATATTAAGCACTTCATTAATAAAAGAGTCCACCTAAGATCTTACAATTAAAGTAAAAGTAAGAGCAGATGGTAGAATGTATGTGATATAAAAGAACAGGGAAAGAATACTGGGAGCTAAAGTTTAAGCAGGGATGGGGTTAAGGAAAAGGAAGGCTGGGGTGAGTTAAACAAAACTAAGGATGTATGAAAATGACTTATGAAACTCCACTAGTTTGTAAGGAAATAAAAATAAGAAAGGTGTTTAGTGTGTCAGAGAGATTGCTCAATGGTTAAGAGCACTGGCCATTCCTCAAGAGGACCTGGGTTATAAACCAAGTACCCACATGACAGCTCACAACCATCTGTAACTTCAGTTCCAGGAGATCTGATGCCTTCTTCTGACTTCTGTGTGCATTGCACACATGCGATTTACAGACATACATATATACAAAATACCCACTGTGGTGGTTTGAAGGAAAATGATCCCCAAAGGGAGTGGCACTATTAGGAGGTGTGGCCTTGTAGGGTAGGTGTGGTCTTGTTGGAAGAAGTATGTCACTGTGGAGGCAGGCTTTGAGGTCTCACATATGCTCAAAATGCCACCCAGGGTTTCAGACCTCTTCTTGTTGCCTGCAAGATGTAGAACTTTCATCTTACTTCTCCAGGACCATGTCTGCCTGCATGCTGCCTTGTCCCACCATGATGATAGTAGACTGAACCTCTGAACTGTAAGCAAGGCACCCCAAATAAATGTTTTCCTTTATAAGAGTTGCCATGGTCATAGAGTCCCTTGACAGCAATAGAAACCCTAAGACACCCATACACATACATTTTTTCTTTATTTCTCAACATATTTTTATTAATTATTTGGGAATTTCATACAGTGCAACCCAATCACACTTGTTTCCCATTCCTTCCAGGACCACACTCCCACCCTTCTGCCCCTTCCAAAGGAAAAAAGAAAAAATTATCCCAAGTCCAATTTGTTTTGCTCATGTACTCATTGGTGCATAGTCAAACTCCCAGTGGCCAGCCCCTTAAAGAAAATGGAGTTCTTCCTGCTTACTAGAAGCCATCAACTACAAGGAGCTACACTTCAGCATCTTTATTGCAATTTTTAAGAATTCTGTTCTATAGCTTCCTGTCTAGACTGTTTTTGAAGAGGAGGGTTGGCTGGGAGGTGAGGAGGTTGTCCGTGGTTCATGCTGCAGCCAGCTGCTGTGTACAAGGAAGCTTATTTTACAATGATACTGATGACTGCAAACTCATAACTGAGAATGAGAAACATTGAAGGCTTCTGTCACTTACATTTTTTAAATTCAATTTTAATTAAAATACAGTGACACCTTTCCCCCTTCCCTTTACACCCTCCTCT